GAAGAACAGGCTGTTCAAGTGTGTCAACCAGAGCAAAAACCAGTTAGTTGGTGACATCACCCTCCAGGGTCTAGTGCTAACAGAGCTTGATATTTGGTGCAAGAGTAGCAGCATCAGCTTCGGGAGTGTCTGATTGCAAATGTTGGGGAGGTAGCAGGAATTTCAGGCTGGGAAACATGCGTGTGTAAATACCTGGTACTTCATTGCCCAAGACTGGAGTGAGCTCACATTCTGCTCCAACTCATCCCAAGACAGCAGGAAAGAAGGCATACATACCCAGGAAGCTACTGTAAATGTGGAACAGTCCCCAGTATTGCAAGCCTTCCATGGGCCTTTTGCTCTAGAAGGCTCTGGATCTCTGATAGTTCTGAGTCCTAATGGGAACAGATGGCAACTCTAGTGTTTAGGTCTCCAGAGATAAGATTAAACAAACATAAATGCAGTGCCAACTCTGTAACCTTATCGTAAGATGGCAGAGGGTGAAGTACATCTAGAAGATAATCTGAGTGTGTTTAATGCTAGAATCTAGTGGTTCTAGGGCCAGATGATATGGGTCTGTTAGTCCACTCAGAGGCTTGAGATCTTTGGTCATTGTGAAATTCTTAGTGGTGAGTGCCCTCTGATGTTCAAGTGAATTCATCCATTTATTGGGTGCCTACTTATTCAGCATGCAAATATTAAGTGTGTACTATATGCAGAACACTATATATTAGGGCCCGGGGAGAATAAGAAATTTAAGGCATGGTCCCTTCTTCCATGGAGCTCACAGTCTCTGAAAAGCATAATGACGAATACACAGATTACTGTAATCTCAGTATTACACAAAAGGGCATTAGAGAAGGGTGTTGTGCTCTGGGAAGTTTGAAGAGGTGGAGTTGTCCAGGCAAGATTTCATGGAGGAAGTCATAGGTTTAATGCTGAGATCATCTTATTCAGTCCCTTCATTTTACATATGAGGAAACTGAGGCTAGAGAGGTTAAGTGAGTTGGTCAGGGTCACACAACAAGTAAATTGTGTGAGGGTTTGAAATTAGGTCTCCAGACTCCCAGTCAAGAACTCTGAGAACATATCCTTTCAGAAAATACCCACGTTAAAGAGTGGGGTATAGGGTAAAAGGGCAAGAATCATGAAGTAGCAGTTGGAGAAGTAGGAGAACCAGTGGTGTTATTATATCTACTGATCACAAATGTCTTAATGTATAAGAAGAAATCTTTTTTATTCCCCCAATATGATGTTATCCCCCAAAATATAAAGGTCTGGTGACATTTTAGCATTCGTTGCCAGGGAATTGTAATTTCTCTCCTGAGTTGTTCTATTAATGGGAGGCCAAAGAACAGTCTTTTATCTTTTAAGGATTAAAAATTCTTGAATTCTTTGTAGTAATTGAGAAAATAATCCTATAAAAATAGTTTTCCAGACATTGTGAAATGGTGTATTGTCATTATTTCTTTGTGACAAAAAAATTTTAATGAAAATATGATTTTTCCCTCCAGGAGGACCCAAGAAGGCATATGAAGTCACCTATAAAACAGATTCAGGGATAAACACGGACCTCTATGACATTGTCATGGTGGCTACTCCACTGACCAGCAAAACATCCCATATCACTTTTCTAAACTTTAATCCACCCATCCCGGATTTTCATCAATACCACCTCTACCACTTGGTGTCAACTCTTGTTCGTGGGCGATTGAATCCACCTTTCTTTGGCTTAGCGGCAACTGATAGCGTGGGCCTTTCTAACATTCTCACCACTGACACCCCAAATTCATTTGTTTACAGCATCGCAGTGTCGACCCCTGTAAAAAAGGAGGCCAGTCTTCAATCTAAGCCAACAACCGATTCAGCTGTTTGGAAAATCTTTTCCTCAGGATCTCTTACCAAGGAGCAGCTTAATTTGCTGTTTGCATCTTATGATTCTGTAGAGGAGCAGGAGTGGCTTGCATACCCTCAGTATAACCCTCCAGAGAAGTGCCCTCCCATCATACTCCATGATCGCATATACTATCTCAATAGCATAGAGTGGGCAGCAAGTGCTATGGAAATGAGTGCCATTGCAGCCCATAATGCAGCACTCCTTGCCTACCACCGTTGGTATGGGAATACAGAGATGATTGACCAAGAAGGATTGTATGAGAAACTGAAAACCGAGCTTTGAAGTATCACCAACATCCTTTTCTCAAACCTCCTTCCTCTCATGCTCCCAAATGAAATCCCAAGATGACAAGAAGGGTCGAGTCCCTGTGAGACAGGGATGTTGTCATCGTCCTTAGTTGAACCAAAGTAATCAGTGGTGGGTTTGAAGGAGGTAGAGGGTTCAGTCAAAGATGAATATATAACCGTTGTCCATAATTCTGTCTTTAAACCTATTATGTAAATCTTTGAGGACATTTTTCAGTCTAGGCTGAAACCAGGTACAAAACTAAGGAATTCAATATGTCAGATGTGTTTGTTATAAATTAATTTGGTACCTTTCTAAACTTTGGAGTAGTCATCACTGGTTTTGTGGAATTTGTTGTGGAGAGAGGATAGGAGTTGGAGGCAAGAATTACTAGTTTGTGTGATCTTGGGCATGAAGCTCTTTTTGAGCCTTATTTTCCTCATTTGAGAAATGAGGGGACTAGGTGGGATAGTTAATCTCTAAGGTCCTCTCCTTACTAGCTCTGAGATTTATAATCTAGTACCCAAAGGCTATCAATAATGGGATAAACTAATTTCCTTTTTCAGTACTATACACTCTATCCCTCTTCATTGTAAATGTGCCATTGCCAAACACCCTTTTTGAAGGCCAAATTCTTAATCCTGTCGCTCTATTGTGCTTTTTTTTTTTTTAAATGATAAGGCTCAGGTACTTTTTAATATTATATTTCCTCTAAGATATCAAAGCAGAAGTCACTAGTGTTCAGTCTGGAAGGAAGACCAAAAGTGAGTAAGGATTATTACCATTTGGAGAGTCAGGAAATCTTTCTATTCTCAAATCCACCTCTAAAGTTGACTTAACCATTTCCCTGTAGTGTTATTATTCAGTAGAGTATTTAACAGGTTCACTTTAAGAATGATTAATGAAATTGAAAATTCTTTTAAAAGTACTCTAGAAGTCTATGCTTCTAAACTGTTAGTCTTGCCTTCGTATTTTTTTAAAGTAGGTAGTTAAATGGGCATTTTTAAAAGTTCTGGCCCAGTAGATATTATTGAAAAAAATCTCATTTCTAGAGCTAATACTGTGGAAGCAGCCTTCCATCTGAAGGATTTAGGTTAAGGCTGGAGCAAGCCCAACCACATCTGAATCAGACCAGATTGCAGCATGGTGTAGAAGACAGAATGTTGGACTTAGAGCAAGATCTGGGTTTTAATTCTGCCTCAGATACTTACTATGTGTGTCAACCCTTGGGAAGCTATATAACCTTTCTGGGCCTGTTTATTTATAAAGATTACGGTAGAGTTGGACTCCACACCTTAAGATCCCCTTCAGCTCCTAATCCCTAACAAAGGTGTATTTTTGTATAGCCCTGGATTAACAAGGGATTGCTATGGCTTCAAAGCTCAGTGGGCAAAGAGATCAAAATTAGCCAATGGGTGATAAGTACCCATAATAGGCTACTATGCACCTGGGAAAAAATAGGTTGTGAATAGCTTGAGTGTTCATGTAAAATCCTGTTATCATCAACTCCAAAAATAGTAAAGAGAAAAAAGTGAAAAAATGTGCATTAAGATTCACATGAAAATGATAATTCCATACTAAGTCTCTCTAGCTTTTCTTTAACTTTAGGGTTTGGGAGCAGGGAAAGAACATTGTGTAGTGAAGTGTGAAAGAGCTGCCACTGAGCTTCTGGGAAGAACAATCAGAAAACTCAACTAGAGCCAGTTCTTGGTTTACCTACCATCAGAGGGAAAGATCAAGTACTTAATTAGAATTCATTACATAAAAGAAAACGAGCAAAAAACCCCCTAGGTTGTGTACAAAAAACAAATCATCACTGCTTTATTACATTAGGGAATTTTTATCCAATAAAGCACTGAGGAGAGCCCTCCAAAGGGTTGTAGAAAGCAGTCCTACCACAGAAGTCAGTTAACTCAGTGAAATTTTGCAGCTGAGCAGTAATTAGTGGATGTCACTATTTAATATTCTTTTTGCAAAGCCCTGGGGATAGGCGATTGACATTCTTTTAAGGCAGATATTGAGCTTACACATAATGTGGTTGTTAGAGGGTGCTATGTCTGCTTTTAACGTTCCTAGGCTAATTATTAAAATCAAGAATTGGTTTAAAAAACCATCATTTCCCCTTTTGTAGATTCTTCCAGTTAATGGATATAGAGCATAACGTCCCATGTGTATATGCTGAAGATTGACCGATGAGTAATATAACAAGATTTGAAAAAGATCATGTCTGTCATTAATACTGCCTTCAGCTACTTTTTCTTTGAGATAGCGCACCAGTTGTAAACTTAGATGTTAAGGACAGGTAGGATCTGCTCTCACTGTTAATAAAGTTCTGCCAGGGAAGCCAGTTATCAGTAGATAACTTGCTCATGATGCAGTGGAGCCTCAGTATGTGTTTTTGGAGGGTTGTTTTGTGAAAAGGGTTACAGATACTTAACAGCAAAACAGGGCGATTCTGGGTTAAAAGGTTTGTGGGCTGATTTTTTTTTCCGTGGTCTCTCATTCTGGGGAATGGTGGGGCTGGATCATTTATGGAAGTGCTGTCACCAGAGAACAGGTTTTATCCTGTTTGATTGTCATGCTTCTTACTACACTGTTAAAAGGATAAGCCTAGGCCATGTCACTTTTTTCATAATTCTAACTCAGGGGCCTAAATAATATAACCTATATATGAATCCTAGCCTGAGCTTTTAGAGGAAGAAACACTATACCCTGCTTAACCCTACAAATGATTTCCTGTGGAGTTTTTACCTAATTAAGGCCTGGCTAAGGATTTATACCCCCACCTCCCATATTTTTTTCTTGCTCACAGTGAACTTGAAAATAAAGAAATATGCCACTCTGTCCAGTGTCTTTATTTTACCTGTATTAATGTAAATAGAATACAAAAGCCAAAATGGCCATAGAACCAATATTCTAAATAGTTTCAGTTTAACAGTACTTTTAAATTTAAAGGAACTCTCTGATTATCTTTAACTTGTAGCATCAAACAAAACTGAAGAATTTTAAAAAAGGCATCATTACTACATGGTTTCCTTTCAGGAGTACCCAAGAGAAAGAAAACATCTAAACATCTTACAAAAAGTTTATTTTCAAAAAGTTAAACAAAAAATATACAATGACTAATTTTATGTATCAAAAGAAAAAAAAAGAGGCTCTTGGGAATGAAAGGGGTAAGTGGAGACCCAGAGCATCATCCATGCTTCATTCCTTATACTCGTTCCAAGGCTTCTAACATAATGATACTGTTTCCTCGGATTACCTAAGAAAGAACAAAGCTGTTAGTAAAGCAGTACATGAAACCTGGCTATAGAAATAAAAATGAACTTCAAACAAATCACCAGAAATCACTAAGTAAGAATGGAATCCACCACTATCACATTCTCTAGCTGAAAACTATTTACTTCCCTTGTGCTTTGTGTTCCAGAGTTTTTTCTAATGAGAGTTTCTGGAGCCTGTGAAGACCATTTTGTATATGAGCATGTAACCAAACTATCTAGCAACTGAGTTTTGCATAGGAGTTTTTTTCTCTTGTGTGTTATGACAGAGAATTTCAATGTACTATGGATTATTAAAAGATCCAGTTCAGAGGTGAGCAACCTTTTGAAGAGAAGAGGCCTGGGCTCAAATCCAAATCCTGACATTTACCAGCTTAACTTGCGAGCCATCAATTTCAAACAAACTAACCAATAAGAATTCATTAGATACTACTGTGCCACTGCCATGAAGTCACTGCAGTAAGGGCAGAACAGACTGTACTTAAACTGTTTTACCACTTACTTCCTTTCATCCCATTAGGTCTAAAAGGCCTTGCTTTTTCCAGTCTTTTTTTAAAAAAAGGTGACTATGCTTGGCATTGCTACATAAAGTATCAGTTTAGGACTTCTCAGTTAATACTTTGGTAGGAATTAGTTTACAGCCGGAGCTCAAAGCCAAAGAATATAGAATTTTTTTTAGCATTGGGAGGCAGGGGAGAAAAATGGAATGCTATGCAAACCAACTCCAAATTCCCAATGCTTCCTACTGAGAATTACTACTGGCCCCTCAATGCCAATTCACAGTTCAGCTTGGGCTTATAGATCTCCCCAATCTAGACCCATGCTTGTATGAACTACTTAGTTCCCTGTTACATCAGAATTCACTGTCACTAAACTCCTGGATCTCCTGATAACATCAGTGGCGTGCACTTTCTCCTTAAAACAGAAAACTGGTATCATGAGCACCCATACAACCACAGCTCAATTTTAATGTCCAGGAAGTGATTATCCATAAAACTGAATAAAGTTATAGGTCAAGGTGGCATCCAACCTAAAATAAAATTCAATTTCAGATTATCTCTATTAATGGTAAAAAGAACGATGGGAATCCATATGAATTTGTATCTGACATGGAGATTTGCAACAGAATGAAAAGAATTCACATTGTAGAGAGGCTGTTAGCTGAAATTATGTTAGCCAACTTAGTCATCCTGCCTCAAGAGATCAATGATTGCACAAAGCATGAGAGATACAAAGACATAAGACAACACAGACCTCACTCTCGTGACAAAGTGGGGAAGTGGAACATGCACATAAATACTTCAAGCCAAAGTCCTGAAAAACTGGAGGAAGGAGATAACTTTCAGCTTGGGAAGATCTGGGAATGCTTCATGGAGGACACCTGAGTTAAAGCTTTTTAAAGGAAAGAGGGGTAGAAGTTGAAAAGTTTTTTTTCCCAGGCACGAGACAATATGATGAATGCAGGTACTTTAAGTATCAAATAATACTCTAGTTAGGAAATCTGACCTCTAGACAATGAAATGTTTATTATAGTTTAAAAGATTTGAGTGGGACAAACCACAAAGTGGCTGAATCTTGACTGCAATCTGCTTTTCATCTGTCCATACTTGAGTTTGAAAGAAGCCAGAAAGTCCATCTATAGAACATCTTCAAAAAAGTGAAGAGAATTAGCTTTCCAGGTGTAGAAAGTTATTGAAGATGAAGGATGGATTAGTAATTAGTAGTCTCTGAGGAATCCAGGTATATTTAACTGATTTACACCAGTAGCCTGATATGACCGTTAGCTTTCTTACATTCCAAATTTATGCTCATAACACAAGCACTGTGCCTGGTAAGCTTAATAAATGCTTACTAACTACAATTATCTCAAAAATTGTTACTTACCACCATTCCAATATTGTTCTGTTGCCCACCTGGTGCCATCTCTACACATTCATCAATCACAAGATTCATAAATGGATCAAACCCCCGCAATATTCCTTGGACGTGCCTCCCACCATTTAATTTCACTAAGAAAAAAAGTGAAATTTTAGCAAAATTGTCCATTAACCATTCTAAGAAAAAATGAATAATAATTACTAACATTTGCATATTGCTTCAACATTGGCAAAGTGCTTTATTATCTTGTTTGATCCTTCAAGCCCAGGGCTCTACAGCACCTCGAGGTCCATCCTGGCTATACAACATTAAGTAACATAAAGCACAAATATGTGACTTAAGATCACCTCTTGCCCACTTAAGATACTGTGCCAAAGTAACTCACTGAACTTTCAAAAAGTAACATCATAAAAAAGAATATTTCATTCAATTGGCTTCAGTTAAAAGTGTGAATTAGTGATTAAAAAAAAGAAATTAAATTATTTCAGGATGTTAAGAAACAAATTGGAATTGATCAAGTGTTATCTTGTGGAGGGTCTAGTAAGTATTTTAGTAAGATGAATGATCAAAATGATCACAGGTATGTCAGTTATTTATGAAGCTTTTAAAACTATAAGAGACTATTAAAGTAGTCTGAATTTTAAATATTCTTCCTAAAGTGATTTCTTAATTTGTACTTACTATGACTTTTAACAGAGAGAGATTGCAGTTCTACCCCCATACAAATTGTTACAACTGAGTTAGAGGTTTTAGTATACATTATTTCAATTTTAACTAATTGTATTGAATTAGATACTGCCCAGACCCACATAAATAAAAACTTGAAACATTTGTTAGTAGAATCATCTTAAATAACTTACATGATAGCTTCTTGTCCATAAATCTGAAAAAGCAAAAGCAAAAGGGGGGAAGTAAAATAACACTTCCAAACTTTTTAAAAAAATTTATTTTGATTTATCAACTATCACTTCCATAAGCTTTTGAGTTTTAAAATTTTTCTCCCTTTCCCTCTCCACCTCCCTCCCCAAGACAGCATGAAATCTGATATAGGATATACATATACATTTCTATTAAACATATTTTCACATTAGTCATGTTGTAAGAAAGAATTAGAACCAACAGGAGGAACCACAAGAAAGAGAAAACAAAACAGAAGAAAAAAATAGCAAATAGTACGCTTCGATATGCATTCAAACAAGATAGTTCTTTCTTTGGATGTGGATAGCATTTTCCATCATAAGACCTGTGGAGATGTCTTAGATCCTTGCATTGCTGAGAAGGACTAAGTCTATCAACATTAGTCATCTTACAACGTGGCTGTTACTGTGTATACCATTCTGGTTCTGCTCACTTCACTCAGCATCAGTCCATACAAGTCTTTCCAGGTTTTTCTGAAGTCTGCCTGCTCATCATTTCTTAGAGCACAACAGTATTCCATTACATTCATATACCACAATTTGTTCAGTCATTCCCCAATTGATGGGCATCCTCTCAATTTCCAATTCTTTACTACCACATAAAAAGCTGCTATAAATATTTTTGTACATGTGGGTCCTTTTCCCATTTGTATGATCTCTTTGGGATACAGCCCTAGAAGTGCTATTGCTGGGTGTGCACATTTTTATAGCCCTTTGGGCATACAAACTTTTTTTTTTAAGCACAAGAATGAATGTCCAAAAAACCAATCACAGGAGTTGCAGCAGTCAGTTGCTTAAATCTCATGAGGAATGGGTAAAGAAGATACCTGAACTTCCTAAATTGATATAACTGTCTTTTGTTGGGGGCAGCTGGGGTGTCAAACTAATGTAAATTTAGATCAAATTGACCCTAAAATCACTATTTTCATTAATTTTTGTAAATATTAAGCATATTATATAAGTGCAAATTCCCAAAATTGTCCTGTCTGAAATTACTCAAATTTTTCTTCAGATTCAGAGACAAATGTCACCTGTGGCTCATTTTATTTTATGTTAAAGCAGCAGTTAAAAAAAAATTAAGATAAACTCTTTTATGAAGTAATTTGATGTTTTCCAACATCACACGTAGATTTACTTTTTTGGGGGTGGGGTGGGGTGGTAGGCAATGGGGTTAAGTGACTTGCCCAGGGTCACACAGCTAGTAAGCATCAAGTGTCTACGGTTGGATTTGAACTCAGATCCTGTTGACTCCAAGGCCAGAGCTGTATCCACTGTGCCACCTAGTTACTCCAAATATGTGTAGATTTAGAACAAAACACATAATAGAGTTTTTTTTCCCCTGGGGGAGAAGGGTGATTGTCTTATATTAATTGTATTTTTTTTACTGTAAAAAAATTAACATTTCAGCCAGCTTAACATTAGAAACTTAAAGTACTATATTATGTTATTAATTCAGTGTTCACCTTTTTCTTTTAGGTGTTCACTGATTGGAAGGGTCAGATTTTCCTACTTTTTTCAATTCCCAAAATATTTTTGCTTACAATGAATTAGTCCAAAGGAAAAAAAGATGTAAGTTACTGATGAAACCTGAATTAGTAATAACAGTCTGGGGAACCCTGATATGTTTGATTTACACCAGTAGTCTATGAAATGGCCCTAAAACAAATGGCTTTCTTATGTAATTCAGGATTGCTCCTGGTAGCAAATATTAAGAATGACAGAAAAGCTGAGCTGGAAAAATTCAATAAGCTGTTGTGCCCTATTTTTATTTCATTATTTTTCTACATGGGTTTATAATACTTGGATCATGAAATAAGAGAATTTAGCTCAACCTTTTTAAGGATGAGAAAACGGAGGCCCACCTAAGAACTTCTATTCCTATCTGTGACATTAATCCAGACTCCTATCACTACCCTGACTTGGTTTTCACAATAATTTTTTGTGTTAGAAGGGGACCACAGAGGTCATTAAATATAATGTATAATTGAATTTTTTATAACTTACATGACCAGCATTCACCTAGCTTGTGCCTGAAGACCTTCACTAAGGGAACCCTACTCATTCTACTTTTGTTAGAAGTTCTTCCTCACATCAGGAGTAAGTTTGCCTTTTTTGCTACTTCTATCTATTGCTCTTGGTTCTAATGTATGGGGCCTAATGTCCTCTGGAACATCTCCAGTTTAAAAATGTCCTCCATAAACTGGTGGTCTCTGGAGGGTAGGAAGTAGAGGGACAATTACCTCCCATTCCTGGAAGCAATGTCCACCTCTCCTTGTGCCAGCTGACACTGCACAGCTTTTGACTCCCATATCAAGATGCTGACTCCCGTGGAGTTTGCAGTCCACTAAAAAAACCCAGATATGATACTGTAACCATTTCTCCCTATCCTGGCCTTGAGCTCAATTCTCCTCTTCCCCCAACTTTACAAGTTTATATTTATATTTATCCCTATAGAATTTCATCTTATTAGATTTTGCCCAACATTCTAGTCTGACAAGATCTTTCTGTTTCCCTATTGTCAACCAGCACGTTAACTATCACTGGCCCCCTTCTAGCCCTTTTCCATGAAAGTGCTTTGCAAAATTTAAAGCATCATATAAATGTAAGTTAGTGTTATCCCTCTTTCCTTTCCTTCCATATCTCAAAACTCATCTACAATAAGCCTCCCTCTATCTCAGTCTTCCTTTCCCCTCAAGGTTATTATTTTATATTAAAGCAGCAGTTAAAAAAAATTAAGATAAACTCTTTTATGAAGTAATTTGGAATAAGTGTCCTTGATCTTATCTCCTCCCAGCTCTTCCAGTATTTCATTTGATTTATTCTAGTTCAAAAAGCATTTCCCTCCTGACTCTAAGATACAAACTCCTGAGGTGGGCAAATTTATAGCTGTCAATAACCTACCTTTTCAAATGTATTTCATATAATTTCCCTTTATGTTCTGGCCCAAATGCCTTACTATTCTCTGAATCTGTTATCCCACTCATACACAATCACACAAGTCATCTCTTGTTGGACCCTCTGTTCCCCTCCCCATGCAGGGCCTCATCTCTGCCTGTCAGAATTCTCATCTTCCTTTGAACCTAATTCAGGTGCTCTCTTCTCCAGGAAGCTTTTCCTGATCCTTCCAGTTCTTAATGCTCTCTTCCTCAAGTTACTGGTTCTTAATTTATGTTTAAACATTGTATCTCCCAGTAGACTTAAGTTCCTAGAGGGTAGGGACTGTTAATTTTGTCTCCACATCCCCAATACTGTCTTGCATATAATAGGTTACTTCTTATAAGTTTGATGAATTAGATTCCTAAAATTCAGAGCTGGAAATTAATTTAGAGATTATCTAGTCTGATGTTCTTATTTTACAGATGAGGAAACAGCCTCAGAAGTGAAGTGATTTGCCCAAGGTTACCCAGTGGCAGACCTAGAACCAGAAGATTGGGCAATAGCTTTCAAGGCACTTAAATTACTATCATCTCTCGCCACAGGCTTCTTCCTCTCTAACTACAAATATGCTCAGGTGTTTCCAATCTTGAAATACCAAAACAAAAGTTTCCCTAAATCTTTCTACTCCCTTCAGGTATCATCCTATCTTACTAAATTCAGGGAAACACTGATTAAGCATCTACTATATAAAAATGATTCTAGTCCTCAAGAAACTTCTAGGGGGGAAGGAAATAAGCATTTACATAGCACCTATTATGTGCAGGGCAATGTGCTAAGTGCTTCACAAACATCTAATCCAGGGGTGGGGAACCTGCAGCCTGGAGGCCACATGTGGCCCACTAGGTCCTCAAGTGCAGTCCTTTTGACGTGTGGCCTCAAGGCCGCAAGTTCTCCACTCCAATCTAATCTGATCCTTAAAAGAACCTTGTTAGGCGGATGCCTTCATGATCCCTGTTTTACAGTTGAGGAAACAAGAGGCAGACAGAGGTTAAGTGACTTGTCCAGGGTCACAAAGGTTGGATTCGAACTTGGGTCTTCTTGATTGCAGGCTAAGGGCTCCCTCTACTTCACCACCTAGCTACAATGGAATAAGACACAAGCACAATACAAGGAAAACTGAGATGGGAGAAGCTGAGAACTAAGAAAAGCTTCAAGAAGGAGATGGAACCAGAGGTGAGTACCTAAGACAAGGAATACTTTTAGGGCCTAAACAAGACACCTCTACTTTATTACTCATTTATTCAACCACATGCAATCCATACCCAACGAAAATAGCTTTCTCAAAGTTCACCAATGGTATCCTACTTGCCAAAACCTTTTTTTGGGGGGGAGGGGGATGGGGGAGAAGATGCATCACTGGATCAAGCCCTTACTTAAATGTTGACTTCCTCTTCGATATCTTTCCTTCCCTTGGCTTTCATGATATTCCACTCCAGGTTCTCCTAATATGTCTAATGACTTCTTTCACCTGATTTTTCTCCTCTTGCCCACTTAACCTAGGCATTGCCCAGGCTTCTATATTGAGCCATGTCCTTTTTCCTTTTTATACTCACCAACTTTGCTATCAAATTCACTTCCAGTTTCAATAAGTTTTATGAGACTGACTCCTGAATTTATATTCAACTGTGAAATGTACTGGGTTCCATAATAATAATAGCTAGTATTTATATAGCTTGGCAAAGCACTTGTCACAAATGTCTAATTTTATGCTCATAACAACCACGAAAGTAGGTGGCATTATTTCATTTTCCAAATGAGACAAGCAAACAGAAGTGACTTGCCCAGAGTCACACAGCTAGGAAGCATCTGAGGTAAGAGTGAAACTCAGGTTCTCCTAAATTCAGGGTCAGCAGCCTTACCCACTCCATTACTTAGCTGCTCCAGACCTCCATGTTCTACTAGCATTTTAAAGCAAGTGTTCAAACTCATCTTTCCTTCCAAACCTACTATTAGTCTTGACTTCCCTATTTTTGCTAATGGCACCACAACTCCCCTAGTCATTTATGCTTAAATCACAGTCCTATCTCCAATTCCTCTCAGTGGATTGGGAGGGGCAGAGGGGAAAAGAAGGCTGAAATGCTGCTTCCATAAAACTAATATGATGTATTGATCACTTTTGCTGAATTGAGTTTCTCCCCCACCCTACTTTTCTTTCTTATTCTTTTATTACAAGGTATGGCTCTCTTGGGTAGGAAAGGAGTGGGATATATTGGGAAATAAAGGCAATGTTAAAACATTTAAGACATTTTTAAAAAGAAGAGAAACAATGAGTAGTACATTTCATAGCACTACATAAAAGTGAGTTTGGTCAAGCCACTTCCCCTCTGGACCTCAGTTTCCACATCTGTAAAATGAAGGCATTGCATTAGATGTGCCTTCTTTCTATCTGATTAGGTCTTGTGTACTCATTCCACTTTAAGCTCTGACGTTCCAGAACTTAAATGGAACGGCTCCACCATTCCATATGCTACAAAAAAAACCATGGCCTAAGTGTGTGACAGGTAAAAAAATCTCAAGGTGCAACGAGAAGCTGGGAAATCTTGCTCCATTTAAACCACCTTTGACAAGTCATCGTTTCTCTCTGAGCCTGTTTACTCTTCTGTCAAATGAAGTGGTGGGAATTACCTCTAAACTCACATCGTTTTAAATTCCATTTTCCAAACAGCTTACACAGCGATATCAGCGAGCATTTATTTTAAACTCTAAAGAAACCGTGAGGGAATCTTAACGTGGTAGACGCAAGGTCTGAATCGCCTTGCTATTAATCTGTTCACCCTGTCGCAGCCAACATCGCCTCCCAAACTAAAGGCCACTCAACCACTGCTGTCCGAGAAAGAATGAATGAATGGAGCGCGAGACACCACAAGAGGCCGATCTTGTGCGCGCGCGCCCCTCCCCCGCCCCACGTGGCCAGGGTCGGAGCGAAGGCCGGGAGCGCGGCGCATGCTGGGAAGCAGAAGACTCTAATCGTCTTCCTCAGGGCTCCCTCACGACTCGGTGCAGGTTGAGCTGAACCCTCAGGGCCCTCCAGTAGCCAGGTCACCGTACTCACTTTTTTAGTTCGGGTGGGTGCGCTTTGCTCATTTTGTTTCAGTTGCGGCCTTTCGCCTCCTCCCTGTACAATCCTCGGCGTTGCTCACGCTTCCCTTGCCGCCACTGACGCCACCCTACGTCTGGCATCATCGGCTCCAGCGAACCAATCATAAGCCGAGAAGCCCCGCCTCGCGCCGGTGCAGTCAACCGACGTACTGCCACTGAGGTGGGCGGGATTGGGAACTAGCCCGATAATTGAATAGTTTGTAGGATTTCAGCGCGCAGCTGGGGCTTGGAGAATCTGTTATCGCCTTTGGGGAAAGGAGACGGAGACGGCACAGAGGGAAGGGGCTTGTCTGAGGCAAAGGCAGATAAGCAGTTGGTGGAAAGGACTCAAAAATAGGTCCCTCTATTCCCAGTGTGTGCTATTTTAACACCACTCCGTGCTGCTTTAAATCCCTGAACGTGTCTTACTGAAATTAGGAAACACTGAATAGGACTATAAAAGACCTAGGACTGGAAGGGCATTTAGAGATCATCTAGTTTAAACCACTTTACAGATAAGGAAACTGAGGCCCAGTGAAGTTGCTTGAGTGCGGACTACACTTACAAAATGGCCAGTATGGTGAATTTAGGTAAGCTGATCCTCTTATTACAAATATCCAGGGCTGTACCTGCATGGGAGTCAGGCTCACAGCCATGTCACAATGAGAAGGCGTGAGAATCATATAATCAAGGTGGGAAAATCCATGCTTATATCAATAAATCAAGGAGTGTGCAGGGATTGTAATTTTGTGAACCTTAAAAGTATCCTACCTGGGAATGCCCAAAAGATCTGATTTATAACCTTAAAAGTATCCTACCTGGGAATGCCCAAAAGATCTGATTTATCAGAATGGATAATTTCCTCCACCAGGAATAAATCAGTCTATGAATCGCAGAATCAGAAAACCTGAGAGTTGGAAGGGATCTAAGTGACCATCTAGTCTAACCCATATACGAAAAGAATCCCCGCTGACAAGTGATCATCCTGATTAGATAGCTTCTGCTTCTGAGGAGGAATTTACACTTTTGGACAGCTCTATTTCTTAGGAAGTTTTCCCTAATACCAAGCCTAAATTTGCCTCTTTGCCAGCTTTCACCCATTGCTTCTAATTCTGCCCTCTGTGACCAGACAAACCCATAAAATGCAAAGTGAAGTTATCATTTACCTCATGGGGCTGTTGAGTGTATCAAATGAGATGATATGTAAATCACTTTGCAAATCTTAAAGTACTATATAATTGCTAGCTACAAACATTATTCATATTTTAATGTAGCTCAAGATCATATTAACTTATATGGTTACATCACACTGCTGATTTGCATTGACTTTTGTAACCCACTAAAACACAGATGTTTTTCATAACAGCTGCTATCTAATCAAGCCTCCCCGACCTCGTACATGCTGAAGTTGACTTTTTGTACCAAAGACTTTATGTACCCAAAGGTAGGTAGAACTTTACAAATCTGAAGAGAATTCTCTGTTATGTAACAAGTCATCTTATGGACTCCAATCAGAGGGCACTACCTTGTGAGGGAATCCATTTCACTTTTGGATAGATCTAATTATTTGAAAGTTTTTCCTGACATCAAGCCTAAACTTCCTCCACAACTTCTACCCACTGCATCTAAACCACTGTTTTACAGATGAAGCAACTGAAGCCCAGTAAAGTTGCTTGAGTGACTACACTTGCAAAGTGGTTAATATGCAAAATGGGCCTCTCTGAATTTATCTAGGATGATCTTAAGCCCATAAGCATGAAGCCTCTTGGACATCACAATAATGAGGCAGGAGAATTATATAATGGAAAGGGAAAATATCTTCCCTCTGGGGCCAAGGGGAACAAATCTTTCAAATACTTGAAGATAGCTATCATGTCCCCCAAATATTGTCTGCTCCAAGCTAAAAACATCCTTTGTTCCTAGAAGTTAGTGTTGGACTTAGAATCAAGATTCAGGTTTGGATCCTGCCTTGGACACCATAGTTGTGTAACACTGGACAAATATCACTCCTTCAGTTTTCTACTTTGTAAAATTGGAATAACACTACCTACTCTCTCAGGTTGTTGGTTCAAATGAGAAAGAGAAGGCAATCTATTGTGGAAACTTTAAAGCATTATATATTAGTTATTGTATGGCATGAGCTCAAAGCCCTTCATAGTCCTGCTGGTCTTCCTCTAGACGTCTTCCAGCTTATCAGTGCCCTTCCTAAACAAATGCACCCAGAACTATACAAAGTACATCAGATATGGTCTGAACAGGATACATGACAATGGAGCTACACCTTCCTTACTTTATACTCAATGTAGATATTCTGAACCATATGTAAGGCTTTGAATTTACTCATACTAAATTAACTTTAATAGATTTGGCCTGTTCTTTTTTGAATACTGTCAATCAGTGGATTATCACTTTATCCATTATTCCATATTGCCACTACTGTATAAAAATGAGTTTTTATAAAGAAGCTACAATTATCTGTTCATAATAGTTGTGATTTTAAAGATTATCCCTCACATCTTCGTGTTCTTATTTTTGTCCACGTTTCCACATAAATTCTCCCTCATGGATTTACTAGTGTGATAAAAATACAAAATGGTCATCAATCTATTAGTGATAAGAACAAAAATTTAGAATAGGTGTTGAGAGGTTCTTCCTTAACATAATAAAATGTCTAATCAAGATATCATTAATTTGTGGTTTTGGAGAACTTCATTTTTCTCTCTGGTTCCCAGTTTCCCTAGGCAAGTTCTAAGGTCTTAGTCTATAATTCTTTCTATAATCCATATTCCTAGATGTCTACCACCAATTACAAGCATTCATCAGGATGTCCTGTAGACTTAGCACTGCCAGGTACACAAATAATATAACACTAAAGGGCCCACTCAGCAAATTCTGTCCCTGAGAGAATTTGGAACCCAAAGTTTTAAAAACAAATGTTAAAAATTGTTTTCACATGCAACTGCGAAATAAGATATATAGGCAATGGGGTATAGAAATCTATCTTTCCCTACAGGAAAATAGAAAGGGAAGGGAGTAAGAGAAGGGGGGTGAGATAGAAGGGAGGGCAGATTAGGGGGAAGGGGTATTCAAAATGCAGTCTTGGGGTGGGGGGAGGGACAAGATGGGGAGAAAATGTGGAACTCAAAATCTTGTGGAGGTGAATGTTGAAAACTAAACTAAATAAAAAACAAATTCTCTCCCTGGCAATCTCTTCCTTGTTCACCATGGAAACACCCCAACCTCCCTGATTCCAGAAGCAAGGGGAAGCCAAAAGACAGAACATTTTACATGTAAACTCCTTGCCTTAAATTTCATGACTGTTAGAACTAGAAGGATCTTGAGATTTAGTTTAACCTCCTCATTTTATATGAAGAATTTGAGGCCCAGAGAAATGAAGGGACTCATCCAAGGTCTTATGGGAAAAAATGTGTTTTCACTAGAACTGGAATTTATCTTGCTTATCTGAAATCAAAGTAATCTTAATGATTACATACTTCATAGAATGTCTGAGTTGGCATCTCTCAATGAGACCTCAAGGACCACCAGCTAGTCCAATCCCCTGTCATAGAAGGGCACAGGTCAATGCCACGCAACTGATGCCCAGGTTTCTTGATTTCTACTCCAGTAGGAATCTTCCTGAAGGCATGAACAATGCCTCTACTAAATGTCAGAAATGGGTTTAGGTGTAAATGGGTTAGTTCCTGCATATGTGCTTAAGTGATGTTTCTGATATCTATGTAAATACATTTATGAGAAAATATTGAGAACCAGGTAAAATATATCATTGTCCAGATGTAAACAGAAAATCAGTCCACTACTGGGGGAAGTAAAAAAAAAATCAAACTATTTATTTTTTAATCAAACCACTAGGAAAATATGACATAGCCTTGAAACACTGAGCAGGAAGGCTATGTTAATTGCATTCAACAAGAAGTTGGTATAAAGAGAACAAGATCTTTTCCAACACAATGCCTGGTACTAACATGTTGCTCAAAGTTTTAACCAACAGTGATAACTGGAAAATTGATGCTAGCTGCCTCCTGTACTCCAGGGTAGAAAAAAGCTCTCCCTTGCAACCTGCTTAGAAGTTTAAGCTGTCTTCCTACCCATTCCTGTCCTAAAAGGGTCCTCTCAACAAGTTGTTTCTGTTGAAAAGGGCAAATGAGCAGGACCAGGGTCAGGCATAATATCTTTTTTAGCTTTGAGGAAAACTAACTTTCCCCCAAACCAATCATCTACCATTGCATTAAACAAGAGGCTTCAGATTGTTCTGCAAGCAAAAAGAGGCTTTCTTTGGCTTTAGTCAAAACCGTTTCATGTTAATCTCAAAAAACACTTTAACTGAAGTGTTGCCCTTGTAGTAACTTCCTGAAGGGCAAGAAAAAGTAACACGAGCAGCACTCCTAGAGAAGCCAACGTGAAGGAACCTGAGCGTCACGTGCCTGGTGGGAGCTTTCCCTTTGATGATCTTGCTTGGTGTCCCAGCTGAAAGCTGGCGTGAGCACTGTCTTCATCAAAGGAAGGATCACCTGATTAGAGCTCAGTGGTCTAATCCAAGCAACTCCCTTTCCCCAGACTCCCCTCTGAATGCCAGTTCTTGTACTGGGGAGAAAATACGACTGTGTTTCTCTTTTCCAATCAGCAGCAAACTCATGGCTGCTGCTTTCTGTTCTATGAGAAATGGTTTAATTAAGTGGATGTGAAGTTGGCACTAAACAAATGTGGACAGCTACTTCAGGGATTCATACCAGATAGGAGGTGAGCTGGGGGAGAACTGCTAATACCTATGAACCCAAACAGTCATTTCAGCTTCTAGGAATGGAATATCTCTGAACTAGCTGAAAGCCATTAAGGGCTCCAACAGACAGAACAGGAGTCATCTTCACCAAAGGGATAGGCTGGGTATTATTAGCCCTCCATGCTACCTCCAAACTAGATGAGTACCAGTTTCTTCCATTTCTTCACCTATGGGCTAAAACATATAATGGAACCAACAGAGTCCAGAGGCAGATGCAAAATTCCCATAAAGTATTCTTAAACTTGCTACCAACCTCAATTTCTTCATTCTTAAATTTTCACTGAAAGGTAAAAATTTCCATACATTTTTACACATAGACCCATTCTCCCACCCCAGATGACTACTGACAATGACTCTATTTTGCAATAGATGCCAGGGAATCCTTCATCTTCTTGGTCATGGTGGGGATGAGGTGCATGTGGTCATCAACACATTTGGTCACACAGGACTCTAGCTGCCTTTTCACCTGCTGCTCCTTGCTCCCAGCATCCATCAAGTCTTTGGCTTTGTCATTGCAGTGCATGGTGCATCGAGCCAGGCGGTCCTGTAATCAGAAAGCATAAGTCAGGGATATAATTAACATTCTGATAACATGGTGTCAGCTACAACCTGAACAGTATTAGCAAAGCAAATGGGAACCAGGGGATGGAATAAACCATTTTTTAAGAATACTTTTCCAGGAAACATAGAGGTTAAGTTAGTTCAAGGGTCCTTAGTCAACAACTTGATCTCTCTAACTGATATGGTAAGAGCAATGGCCCTGGAGTCAGAGAATCTCTGTCCGAAACTTGATTGTGATGCTCACAGCCTGGGTGGCCTTGGGCAAACTACTCAACCTCCCTGAGTCTCTTATCTCTAAATTGAAGGGGTTGGACTAGGTGACCTCTAAAGTCCCTTTCAGCACTAAAGCTACAAATCTATGATAAAACCTTTGTAAATTTTGAAACTTATCCTTATGGGCCTTAGTACTTTAGTCTATAGAGCTCTTACTTTCTTGCCCTTGTTTATTAGGGCTATAGATTTTACAAGGGTTTCTTTCAGTGGCTGTTCATAGGCATCTGAGGGTCTTGTAGTGGCAAGGGAAGCTTTCTCTCCACTTATCTAAGTCTCACTCATCCTTCAAGATTTGGCCCAAGACTCCCCACACTACAACTGTAAAGATGATTTAGAAGTCATCTAGTTTAACCCTTACTTATGTCAGAATTCCTGTTATAGCATTTGGTGCAGGGGAGAATTAATACAGTATCTGCGTGAAGGTATTCCTAGTGACCTCCTTCCTGTCTAAGCTTCTAAGTCCACAACTTATCCTGGAGCACTTAAACTCACTACAGGGAAACAGACAACAAAAGAGGTGGTAAACCAAAACCAGACATCCCTGATCTAATTTATAAAAAAAACCAAACAAACCCAAAAAACCAAAACCAAAAACACCCAGAATACTTCCTGAATGCTTACTTGCCTGCAGAAGAGAATATGGAAAAAGCAATATGGTCTATCAGATCATAGTTGAAAGGGGCCCTGTAATGGTAATCAGGAGCATCAGAAATTAGACTACAGGCACCACTGGCTAACATCATAAAGGGGAACCAACAGTATTGTCTGATTCAGCCCATCCCACCAGAACATTCACCTTTAAGGATGACTGCATATATTGTATATTCCCCTTTATCCCTTGCTATGGTGTTGGAATAGTCATAGAGAGGGGATCATCAATCAATAATTTTTTTTTAACAGCAGCTATTATGTAAAGCAAAGTCCTAGATTTGGGGTAGAAAGACACATTTAAGTTCCTTCATCCCTCTGGGTTTCAGTTTTCTCATCTGAAAAGTAAGGATTAGAAAGGATAACTCAAAAAACAAAACAAAAACAACAAAAAAAAGAAAGGATAACTTTTTTTTTTGGGGGGGGAGGCAAATGGGGTTAAGTGACTTGCCCAGAGTCACACAGCTAGTAAGTGTTATATGTCTGAGGCCAGAATTGAACTCAGGTCCTCCTGACTCCAGGGCTGGTGCTCTATCCACTGTACCACTTAGCTGCTGAAGGGATAACTTTTAAGGTCCCATTCAACTGTAATTCTGGCCACCACTGTAGAGTATACAGAATGTGTAAAGATGGTCCGTGTGTTTAAGTTTATAATCCAGGTAGGATTCAAGGCTTATACACAGAGGAAAGAAAAAAACATATAAATAAGTGAAAGATTTTGTGTTTTAGAGACCCAGACATGGAAGAGACTAGGAGTTGGAGCAGTATTAGACACTGTATCCCATATCTTCTACCCAGATGTTGTTGTAGGAATTCCTATGGGAAAATTTAGACTAGATTGAGCTCTAATGTTTCTATTCCAATTTTAGATTGGGAAGGGTACATGGAAGCAGTGGGACTTGGGCAGAATCTTGAAAGATGGGTAGGATTTGGATGAATGAAGAGAAAGCATCCCTCACTTGACTTCAGGAACCCCTAAAGATGCCTGTGAATATTCACAGAAAGAAATCCTTTAAAAATCTATATCCCTGATAAAGGTATTACTTTGTCCTCTGGTTTGAGATAGTAAAAAGTAGGCAGAAATTAAGAAGCTTGGCCTTTATAATGCTCAGGGATCACAGCATAATAGTTGTAAAGAAGGAAGTGGGTTAGAGTGCCGGATGTGGAAGTCAGAGAGATCCGAGTTAGAATCCTGCCTCAGACCAGCTATGTGACCTGGGGGAAGTCACTTAATCTCTCTTTGCTTCATTTTTTACATCCGTAAAATGGAGATAATAGCACTTACTTCACAGGTCTATTGTGAGGTTCAAAGGAGATAACATGTCAAGTGCTTTGCCAACTTAAAAGTGCAATCTAAATGTTAGCTTTTATTAGAGCCCAGGACTTCTCACTCCAAATCCAGTGCTCTCCACACTACACCTCTCCAGTGCTGGAAGAGACCATAGAAATCTACTCTAAGCCCATCGTTTTATTTGGCTTACATGGCTTTATTTATTCCCATGGGGACTGCGGAAGAAGTTTCAAAGTTTATACTGGGTTTGGCAACTGATGTCAGTCTTATATGCAATTGTATAGGTGACTAAGGCCAATTCGTTTTTTTTTAATTCGCTTATTCTTCTGTACCACAGTAAGTCATTCCCCCAACCACTGGGCATGTCTTATTTCCAGGACACATATATGTACGCGTGTGTGTGTGTGTGTGTGTGTGTGTGTGTGTGTGTGTGTGAGAGAGAGAGAGAGAGATTTACATACAAGGTTCTTTTTCTCTCTCAATAAAGGAATCTTTAAGTCAAAGGGGCATGAACAATCTGGCAAATACTCTTGCTTAATTTAAAAATGTTATCCAGAAAGGTTGAACCAATTTATAACTTCAGCAAGGCTGAATTAGCATGCCTCTCTTCCCATAGTTCTTCCAACAATGAGTTTTGCCATCTTTGGTTACCGGATATGTAAGGCCATACCCCAGGGTTGTTTTAATTTATATTTCTATGATTATTACTCATTCTGAAAATTTTTCTCGGGTTCATATTTTGAACATGATATATTTTTATTTTGAAAAAACTGTTCATAGCCTTTGACTACCTGTTTGGAGTACATTTTCACTGGCAACACCCCATGCTTGGAATGTTATACCTCCTCATCTCCATCCCCTTTCTTCCTTTAAGTCTCAGATAAAAGTCCACAAGAAACCTTTTCTAGGCGTCTTTAATCTTAGTGCCTTCTCTGTGAGGTTACCTCAAATTTATCCTGTGTTTATTTTTTTTTTGTCCCTTGTTTTGGCATGTTATTCTTCCCCTCCCCTCCATGTGAGCTCCTTGAGGGCATGGGCTGTTCTTGCCTTTCTTTGTATCCCCCTCACTTAGCACAGTACCTGGCATACAGCAAGTACTCGATGTAATGCTTACTCACTTGCTTAGTCTAATAAATTTGTGTTATTTATAGATTTTGAATGTCAGATATAGAAGATATTTAACAGAAAAATATAGGAGATAATTACATAGTTTCCCCTCAATCAGTAGCTTTTCTTTTAATTCTGAACCAGTTTTACTTGTGCAAAAGCTCTTAAATTTTATATAAAAAAGATTATCTTTTACAATCTCGTATATCCTATGTCTGGTTATACGTGTTCCCACAATCTAGATATTCTTGTCTGTTTTTTAATGTATTACATGACCTTTATGTTAAGATTACTTATCCATTTGGAATTTATAGCGTATATAGTATAGGATGCTGATCTAAACCTGTTTTTTGCCAGAGTGCTTTCTATTTTCCTAGCAGTTCTCATGGATTAAAGAGTTTCTTTTCCAGTAGTGTATATTCTTGACCCAATGCATAGTTGAGAAGGGGAAGAGTGAAAAGGGCCTTGGATTTGGAGACACCTGAATTAAAATTCTAGCTCTGCTATTTCATACTTCTGTGACCTTGGACAAATCACTTACTACGGCTAGTCCTTGGTTTCTAGGTTATCTGTCAAACCCGAAGGTCGGACTAAATAAAATTCGCTCCAGCTTCAGATACTATGAACTAAGTAAGTATGCTGCCTATTAAAAAAATGGTCATCAGGTTCTTGGCTAGGTACATGATTCTAATAGTTTCTATGGGAAAATCAAATCCAGCTTATGTCACACTTTATAACATTCTTCCAGGAAGATAAGCTACTATAAATATGGAAACTGCCAGCACTAACATAAATGTTAACAGAATCAAACCATAGATCTAGAAATGGAGCTGAGGGAATTTTGAACTTGTCATCTCTGATGAGAAGATGAGCCTCACCTGGAATTTCTCCAGTTCACTGGTCACAAGGGCCTGTGCCTGGGCCAAGGGAGCATGGCAGCGTTCAATGCACTGATGAACCTGCTGCATGGAGGCCTGGGTATCTTCACAGCAGCCGGCGCTGCACCGGAACATGGTACCCTACAAAAGACACAGAAGGTGGAAAGGTCAAGTAGGAACACATTCTTCACCCCAGGGTGAAAGACAAGCAAAAGTAGAAACTGAAAGACATGGAAGACACAGTACTGCATGATGGAAAGCACGCAAGACTGAAGTTAGGGGAATCTTGGATTTAAATACTGCCAATGACACTTCTTAACTTCTTGCCTTTGACTATGGACAGAGCACTTAATCCCTTTGTTCATCAATTTCCCCATCTGTCAAATGAAGATAATCTACCTGTAGAGTACCTATCCATAGAGGGCTAAAGTAAGGATCAAATCAGACAACAAGCACAAAGCACTAGGAAGACCTCAAAGTTTTATGCAAATGCAAGCTATTGTGATAGAACAAGATATGGTAATAGAAAAGAGGTGAAAAGTACACTTCTGCACCATTCCTGTCACCCATTCACTAAAAAGCCTACCCCTCCCACTTATAAAACAGGTAGACTCTAGAATCTCAAAGCCAGAAGTGAAATCATAGGCTATCTAGTTCAACCCATCTTTGAACAAGAATATCCTTTACATTTTCCCCCAAAACTGGCTATTTAGTCTCACCTGGAGACCTCCAGTGATGGAGAACTTCCTAATCCTGCTACCTCCAAGGCAGCCCAGCCCAAACTATTTTGGGATAAGTCTAATTGTTAGGAGGTTTTTTCTTATATCAAATCCAAGCCTGACTCTCTGCAACTGTTACCCACTGCTCCCGCTCTGGGCCTTTGGGCCCAAACAAAACAACTTTAATTTTTTTTCCATATGAAAATAACTGACATTTACATAGTATTTTAAGTCTACAAAGCTTTATGTATACATTTACCTCATTTGCGCTAGGTAAGATCTGAATTCAAATACAGTCTCGGACACTGACTAGCCAAATGACCCTGGGCAAATCATTTACCCTCTCTGTGCCTCAACTTTCTAACCTGTAAAATTAGGATAATAACAACACCTAGCTCCTAAAATTGTTGTGAGGATCAAATAAGATAATATTTAAACTGCTTGAAAAGTGTGAGCTGTTCTTACAAGGAGCAAGGTTACATTTATATAGCACCTACTATGTGCTAAACACCATGTGCAGAGTATTGCCAGGTACCCTAGTAATAAGATAAAAAGTTTAGATAAAATACAGTCTTTGTTCTTATAAAGTTTATACTTTTTGAACAGTTACTGAGTTAAGAAGGAATCATAAAAATTGATTTGGTATATAAAATCCTGTACAGGCAGTCAGAGGATGGATAGAAGATCTAGCCCAAAAGTCAAAGGGTCATTAAACTATGATGCAGGTGCCACCCAACCAACAAATGTCCCTTGAGGACACCTGTCCAGCAGCTATGACATGGTTTTCAGGAACATACCAAATTCAGTATAAAGGAAGGGATTTCTGCATAGAACAAGATTAGTAGTTCCCAACCTAGGGTTTTTGCAAATGGTCTGTGTGTATCCCTATGTGGTACCATAAATCACATTTGTGCAAAGAACTTACTTAAATGTCATACACAAAGCTATATAAGGGAAGGAGCTTGGTGCCTTCATCCTGGTGACTCAAGGCCTTGGTGTGCAGGGCCTCTGTTTGATAGTGCTTTTATTACCTTCTGTTCAGTCCTACCCCATTATTCCCGGGGTAAGGAAATACTTGCCACGTGAAGCATTTTCTTAATAAAAATACACCTAACCCTAAGGCTTGTGCTTTCAAATTCAATAATCCATTTATTCAACATGTACTGGATGCAGAAAAATGGTAAGCCCTTGGAGAGCACATAGTTTTTTACAGAGCCCCCCAACAAGGTCCCTTTACAAGGGCTCACGACTTAGGCCCTCGGGCACACAGGGGTCAGTAACCTGCCACCCGTCCAGAGTGGAAGCTCAAGCTTCAGAAACTTCGTTTAGGGGCGGCTAGGATAGAACACCGGCCCTGAAGTCAGAAGGACCTGAGTTCAAATCCTATCTCAGACCAAACCCAAAACTTACTAGCTGTGTGACCTTGAGAGAGAGAGAGAGAGAGAGAGAGAGAGAGAGAGAGAGAGAGAGAGAAGAGAGTAATTAATTTCGTTTGAACTTGGGTCCTCCTAACCCAAGTGCATGGTGCTGAGCATGCCAGGCCGCTTCTCCTAACTCTGGGTGGGGAGGTGGGTTCCATGGCCTGTGATGATGGGACGGTACAGCACCGAGGGTGGGCATTCGAAGGAGAGCCTGGAGACAAGAGGAGAGGCAACAGTTGCCCACGAAGCACCCCCAAGCTGGCACCGGGAGACGAAGACTTGAGACCGAATACAGCTTTCCAATTTAAGAGCTTATTAAGACTTTAGGTTCCCACCCACCTATCGGACCCTGTCCCTCATTTTGCTGCAAGTCCTTGTAGTTTAGTAAAGAGAGAGAGTGAGTTTGTGTGTGTGATTGCCCTCTGCCCCTTCTCCCCACCGCACTCAAGAACATAATCATCTCCGTTTTCAAGAACGAGGTAACTGAGTCTCGGAAGGGGACGGGGTAAGTGACCTACCCAAGGTCACTGCTGCTGCTGTCGCCCCGGGCGGGTCTCGACCTGGCGGCCAGCGCTCCTTCCTCGCGGCCTCCAAGGCAGCGTCCACATGGCACTGATCAGAGGTTCTCCGCCCTTCAGTGACCTTGGGAGGGCTCCCTTCCCTCCACCTCAGGGCGCCTCAGTTTCCCTGTGTGTAAACTAAAGGGGGGATGGGTTGGAATCAATGTTCTGGGCGTCTCGGTTTCCTCGTGTGTAAAATAAGGTGGGTTGGATTAGGTGCTTTGCGTCTCGGTTTCCCGGGGCGTAAAATTAGGGGGGATTGGACTTGATGCCGGCGCACCTCACAGCGGGGGGTGGGGTGGGGTTGCTGCTCTGCGCCTCAGTTTCCCTGCGTGTAAAATGAGGGTTAGGCTTGGACCTGGCGCTCTGCGCCTCAGTTTTCCCGCGTGTGAAATGAGAGGGTTTGGCCTCGGCGGCTACTAACTAAGGGCCCTTCCATGACTCAGTGGTATGGTCCTGGGAGAGGGCTCCCGCCTGCCCTCCCGCCGCCGCTACCTGCATCTTGCGGATATTCTCCCGCTCCAGCCCTTTCACCATGGTGTCCACCGCTTCCTGCACCCGCAGCTGCTGCGACTCCGCCATGGCGCACACCCCCACCCCCAGCCCCGCGCCCTGCCCCGCTCTGCCCGAGCGCTCTAGCCCGAGGTCCACATGGAGCCCCACAGCCGCCCCGCCCCCCTCGGACCGCCCACTTCCGGCGTCCGTCGCCGGTGGCGCTCCCCAGCAACCAGAGAGTCCCACCGAGCGACCCTTCCTTCCGTCTTACCTGTGCGGGGCGGTGCTTCCCCCTCGCGGCGGAGAAGAGGAACTTGCAGCGCCCGCTCCGGCCGGTAGTTCCTCTGGCCGGGCGGGGTCCCTCTCCCGGCCTTCCTAAGGAAGCACATCCAGGACAACCCTCTTATTTTACAAGCCGGGAAACTGAGCAGCACAGATGTGAAGTGAGTGGTTCAGACTGCAAGTGGATGGCCTGGGATTTGAACCCAGGCACTAAGCCTTCATCTCTAGCAGTCCTTTTATCATTTCATCTGGCTGCTTCCTTATAATTAGCAAACGTCTTTTACACGTGTATATAGGGCTTTAAAGCCCACGTATGGCTTTGAGAGTGTTGGGGCCTTTAGAGTTGGAATATCTTACGGGGGTTAAGGTTCATAGGATCATTAGAGGTAGTGACGCTTAGTGCTTAGCACAAAAAAATTGATTTGTTTTGCTTCAAAACAAAGCAGGGGGCAGCTAGGGGACACAGTGGATAGAGTACCAGCCCTGAAGTCAGAAGGACCTGGGTTCAAATCCGGTCTCAGACCAAACACTTGACACTTACTAGCTGTGTGACCATGGGCAAGTCACTTAACCCCAATTGCCTAAAAAGGAAAAAAAATACAAAGAAAACAAAACAAAACATCACTATAATGTCCCCTGTCTCCTCCTCCCCTGCCAGCCAACCCATATAACCTTTTTTTTTTTTTGGCCAGGCAATTGGGGTTAAGTGACTTGCCCAGGGTCACACAGCTAGTATGTGTCAAGTGTTTTGTCTGAGGTCAGATTTGAACTCAGGTCCTCTGACTTCAGGACTGATTCTCTATCCACTGGGTCACCTAGCTGCCTCCAGAGTGTTTTTCAAAGACAAAAAAAAAAGAAAAGAAAAAATTATCCAAATCGATCAATACATCAAAAAAAAAGGTCTGAGAATATGTACAGTATCTGTTGTTTGTTCTTTGCTCTAAAGAGGACCAGTGACCTCATGAGGTGATGTCTTGACTTGTGTGTGAGTTGGATTTAAGTGAGGCAGAGCTGCACAAAGTTGTCAGCTTCACTCTTTCTTCCAGAGTCATCAAAGTCCAGGCACAGGACAAACGTCAAGAGACTGTCAGATGGCCCTGCATGCAGTGGATGACCTTGACACGGTGGATGTCTGACCCAGCTCTAAGCACTCCACAGTGCCTGCTTCAGCTGCCTTGGTGGCAGTTGGAACAAATTATTCTCATCTACCCATTCCTTAGGAGGTAAGTCTTCACATGCTTGGGTAGACATCCCCCCTAACTCACCAATGGGTTTGAGGCCAGTCAGTTACCCTGGACCTGGCTTAGCCCATCTGCATAATTCCAAATTATTTTGCATAACAGTTGATGAGATTCACACCTCCAGTAATACATTATACTAACATTCCATTAATACATTGTATTAATGTTCCTGTCCCTATAATATTTGATCAATAATCAATCCACCATTTATTAAATCAACAAGTATTTATCAAAAGGCTACTAGGTACCTACTAGGTGCTGGGGTTACAAAGACAAAAATAAAACAATCCCTTCTTTCAAAGAGTTTACATTCTAAACATTGACTCTTTTCATCCTTCAACATCATATATTTGTCATTCAAAAATATATAGAGATTATGCTAAAAAAACTTCGTTGGATGTGGCATTGTCATCACTAAGTCTGCAAAGTAACAAACCTTTCCTAACATCCATTTCAATACCATATCATAATCAAGTGAGCATCTTTAATTAGATCTATTGCTTCATCTACTTGCAGTGCAATTGAAAGGTGCAGCTATGGTTTTAGGAGTGCTAACCCACAGAGTACCTTGGAACTGGGATTCAATAATTCAACTTCAAGATCTGCTCACTGTCCCCAGTGATGGCCTGTATGTTTGCAGGAGAGATGCCTAGGGATATGCAGTGGGAGCTGAAATGTTCTATTGCAAATCTTTCTTTATCATTTCAGCCAATGCTTATGCTTTGATTTCTTCCTTAATCTCAATGCCTTCTTCTAAGATTGCCTCCAGTTTATCCTGTATAACTTATTTGTGCATAATTGTTTGCATGTTGTATCCCCCATTAGATTATGAGCTCCTTGAGGGCAGAGACTGGGTGTTTTGTTTTGTTTTTTCCTCCTTTTTTTGTATCCTTGATTTAGTATCGTGCCTGGCATATAGAAAGAACTTAATAAATGCTTGTTGACTTCCCTGGTTGTATGCTTTAACTAATTATTGATTTAGGAGTGTGGACTTACAGGGTGCCTAGAACCTGGGGGAGCCATCTTGGGAGATACACAGTAGGCATTCGGGGAACTAGAAAATTATATTTTTTATGTAATTGATTAAAGGCTTGCAGATGTATATGGACATTTCTCCTTCCCACTATATTATTTGCAAGTAGAACCATTTGAAACTGCTCTGCATGTAATTTTCCAAGCATTGTTTCAAATATACAAATAGCTGCAAATAGCACCAATGTCTCTTTTATCAAAGAAGGCTTTTTACACTTGGCAATTCTTTAAGCAGCCTTATGTAACTCAAGCAATACTTTTGCTGGCACATTCTCTACGTATGTTTTCAATATTTCATTTTAATTTATTGTTTTGTAAAACATATATTATGCTAGGTGCTAGCACAATCTAAATAAAATTTAGATAAGGTACAACTGGTTAAATGTTTGTTTGGAGAGAAAGTCTTAGAGGAAAATGAATTCACAGAAAACCGTTATACGCAATATTAAGCACAATAGACACAAAGTATATCATAGACTTAAAGACTAAGTGCATCAGAGTCCAAAAAAAGTGCATGTGAGGTGAAACATCATAGCCAGAGTAAGTCAGAGTGCGTTGTGAAATAGAAAATGTTCTATTAGGAGTGAAGAGATCTATGTTTGAGTCTGAGTTATGTTACTAAGTATATGACCTCTCCTGGCCTCAGTTTCCTCAATTTAAAATGAGAAGGTTTTGGGTTAGATAATCCTTAAGTTCCCTTCTAATTTTAATACTCTCCAAATCTAAGTGACTTTTCCATGGTAAAGCTTAAAGCCCTTCAAAAAGGTACTGAAGGCCATACAGCTAACAATTGGAGGCCACACAGAATGCTGGCAGAGCCAGAATTTAAGTTCAAATTTTCTGACTCCATGTTCACTGTTGCTCTTTCCGCTACCATAACTGCCTCTGGCTTCCTCCTCCTCCCTTATCCCTACTCTAGACACCTTGATTTTGTAGAGGAGATACCTGGATGATTGAATGGGAAAGCAGCAGAGCGGTACCATCATCTGTGATGGGCTAGGATGGCAAAACTGAGCCCTGGGTCATCTCCTGCAAATACATTGTTCTTAATCAAGACTATTACAATTATGGGAAATAAGCAGCAAAAATTAATTTTTGTTAATTATTATCTTTTGATGCAGTGACAAGAATTTTATCCAATGCTTATCTGTTAAGAATCAAATATTTATGGCAATGAACAAAAATCTCTTTTCTTTCCTTCCTATATATTCCTATTCCTTCCCCCCCCAAAAAAAAAAGTAGAAGGGGAAGAAAAACAAGTGTGCATAGTCAAACAAAGCCAATTCCCACACTGACCATGTCCAAAAAATATTTCATTCTGCAACCTGAATCAGGAAGAGTGTTCAGGAGGTAGGTAGCATACTTCATGGTGAACTTCTGGAATCATGGATGGTCCTTGTATTGATCAGTGTTCTCAAGTCTTTTGAAGTTGTTTGTCTTTACAATGTTGTTATTACTGTATAAATTGTTCTCCTGGTTCTGCTCACTTCACTTTGTATCAGTTCATGTAAGTCTTCCCGGGTTTTTCTGAAACCATCCCCTTCATCATTTCTTATAGCACAAGAGTATTCCATCATATTAATGTGCTATAATTTGTTTGTCTTTTCCCCATTGATGAATAACCCTTTAGTTTCCAGTACTTTACCATTACAGAAAGTACTGATATAAATACTGCATATGGGTCCTTTTCTATTTTCTTTGATCTTTTTAGAGGATAGGTCTAGTATACTGCCATTGCTGGGTCAAAGGGTATATTCACAGTTTAGTAAGTAATAGTAGTAGCAACTAGTACCAAATTGCTTTCTATTGTAACTGGGGCTTATTTGAGTACCCCTCAGTTTGCTCCCCTTACTCATGGTGGGAGTAGTCTCCTTTGATTGATTGCCTGCATCTCTAAATCTGGTAGGCTCTTTTTTCCTTCTCCCTGCTATGTCCAGAGGGTGAAGATCACAGTTCACCCCCATGGAGCATGGGCTCCATGAATGGAGCCAATGAGAGGGGAGTGACTTTTCTTCCCCTGCTCTCATTCTTTCACCCCAGTTCTGAGCAATGGGCCTCAGTGTTTGTTTCTGTTTTATGTAGTTTGTCCTCCTTGCTTTTAGGTGCCAGAGGTTCTGATGGGATGGAGAGTTTGAGCGATGGTGGCCTTGGAGCCAGCATTGCATGGGGTGATGTGCAGCCAGTCAGCCTAGCAGAGAAACCCTGAAAAGCCAGGGTGACTGGGACATGGGATTTTGGACCTGGAACTGGGACGGTGCTATATGGGAACAGAGCTAAGCTATGAACCTAAACCTCTCTAGAGACTACGAAGCTTTCTGCCACCTTGACCTCACATAATCTTTATTTTCCTTTAAGGTTTACCAAAGGTAATCCCTTCTTTTTCTTTTTAAAATTTTAATTCAATTTTATTTTATTTTCAGTTGCAAATTCTCTTTGTCCCAACTCCCCCTTCCTCATCCACTGAAGAAGCAAGGATGTTCTTTCTCCAGAAAGTCTTCCTCACCCATGCTATGCTACTGCTAATGTTAATACTC